GTTGGAGACACTACAAGATATGGCTGCCAACCGATGTCAGTGGCGTTCTTGTTGTCAGTTTCTGTCCAGATTGCCTGAGTGAATGTCTGGAGGTGTAGGCACCTCGGATGTGTTGTGTTAAGCTAGCACTAAGTCCCTCCCCCATCCACCTTTATTTTTTTCTTTACAATAAGGCTTTCAAATAAGTCATGGTGACAGTGAAGTGAATGTCTGGAGGTGTAGGCACCTCGGAATGATTGTGTTAAGCTAGCACTAAGTCCCTCCCCCATCCACCTTTATTTTTTACAATAACGATGATGATGATGATGATATCCTGATGTGAGATTAGGCTCCCCACCGGATCTCCAATCTATTGCTGTATCCCGAAGCACCGCATCTTTTTCGGAGCCTTCTCGTCGTAAGTCACAATCCTGCTGGCTTAGTTGCCCGTTCGACGACCAACCGGTCGGTTTCTGTCTTCTGAGTTTCCTTTTTCTATCAACAAACAGTAATTTGGACACAGGCTGCTTCCCATGACGATCTACCTGATGTGGTATTATTAGTGCACGCGGTATTTTCGAGAGACTGTTCTTCTAATGCGGTCCTCCTCAGAAAGCACTGTGTTATTTTCCCGGCTTTACAAAGCCACTAACCAACTGGCCATTGATTGTCCAGGTCTGGTTTATTATATCCTTTGACGCTTCATTCTGGGACTCTCGGTTCCAAAATACGCAAGATCTTTATGCAGTTCTGACCTGTAGCTACAGCAACTGGGGTTGGGGATTTATGTGTATACTTTAATTACAGATCATTCGGACTACAATCAAGGTAGGTTTTTGGAGACAGGAATTCAGGTGGAAAAGTGTGCCAGGACCTGAACGTGTCCAGGTTGTGTGACAAACAAGCCAAGAAGTTTTATTTATTCGCCAGTGATTGTTATTTCTCAGAGGGAGTCCTAGTGAACTTGTGTAAACATACCGATACTCATGCATAGGTGTGGAGGAGAGGCATGAAATGTCCACACCAGTTAGAGAAAACGTCGATAAACTTCCCAAGTTCTGTGCCTGAACTGTTCAGAGAGATGTACACTTGCCATAAGAATAGACCTGTAATGGCCCAGAAATTTCGATATGCTCACAGTGATGAGGCAATCTGTTTCGGAAAACCGCATATAAAGCTGATTTCCCAATTTGGTTGCCAGCAAAGATTCACGTAATTGAGCATGCCACATCTAGTGTCGGTCGTCTCGCGCGAGCGAAACTTCCTCAAAGTGGGAAGGTCGTCCAGCATACAGCCGTTTAACTAGTATTCTTGATAGGTATTACTAAAACATTCTTGCACTTGATACACCTCATAAGTTTTCCTCAGAATAGATCTCGCATTCAGTGACGATGTATGATATGCCATTTGTCATCCGGTGAAATGCCCGCACCTTTTCTTTCCTTTGTGTTGCTTACCGGCTTGCCTGTGAATGGACACTTAGGATGTCTCGTACGCAAATGTCTACTAATCCTTGGTGAATCAACATCGAATTATTCAAGAAACGTAGATACAGTTACCGTCCATAAGCGATAGGGCTTCAGAAACTGACACACGTCGTCTGAATACTTTTCGAAGATTCACTGAATCACAGCTGATGGTCAGCATCACTAGTGCATGTCCACCCAATACATACTTGGAAGGTTGGCTCCCACTTCCACGATTCCTCAGTGTTAATATATTCCCTTGTGTAATATTGTTCCTCAAACACAGTGCATTGTGTGAATCTGTGCCTCTCCAATGGATCAGCTGAGGATCTGCTTCCGGTGCCATACCTTCCACAGGATAGACTAACATCCTCACATCGGGTTTATGCAAAACAACCACTGATGAGCCTGCGAGGCTGGCTACTTCTATTCGGACATCAAAGTTGAACGATGATTCCGTAACGTAGTTCCTAAGTGCCTTATTTTTTGTAGTACCATATCCAAAAGTGTGAGCATTCCCTAACCTGATACAGCGTTACTTATTGTCAATCTGAAATCACCCGTTTGGACTTATCATCAGACTTGTCAGCGTACTTTTTCCATTGCGTCCTATACATCAGATTTCGAATATATCAAATGCTCTGCTGAACACAAACTTGAGTGAATTTAGTTGGAATAATTGTCAGTTATCACTTATCTGGCACTCCAAATTGGACGATTTGGCTTTTATTCAGAAAGGGAGTACATCAGACGAAGCGTTTCAAATGGGAAATTGCGTAAACAACAGTCGAATGGTTGTAATCACACAAAAAAGCCCCATACTTTTGCGATTTCATGCCCAGGGTCTAGTGGGAAGGGCGACTAAAAAGTCAACATTTCGCTGCTACTTCCGGCACTATTGCACGCCAATCACCATCACATGCATGCGCCTCCACTTGCTTGTCGATAAACAGTTCATTCTTTGGTGGCACATACATCTGGAACTGAACGCGCTGTTGCAATTCATTCGAAATCACAATCCGGTTGCCCACCACGAGATGGTTGTCAACTCTCATTTCGCTCCTTTTTCGCATTCCTAACCGTTTCCCAAGTATATTTTCCAGTCTCGCCGTTTTTTTTGTGTAGTCATCTGTTCCGTAACTGTTGCGTTCATCACGGCGTCCGAATATGTTGATTTTATCTCAGCAGGTGTAACTACACGTTTTCATCCGTCTGTGTGCCAATTAAACGTGAAAGCGAGTCAGTGTAATCTAAGTTTTGTCACAGTTTGTATGTAACTTAAAGCTGTAACATAGTTACCCACCTTTGAGCAGGTTATCTGTGTACACATAATTACCCTAATGTTGCTGGAAGTTGTTCGTGATCGGTGAATGAAGGGCAACAGGTTCGAGCGCTTTTCCCCATTTGTTCTGACCGAAGGATGGCGCGTTTTGTCTTGAGTCCCTTCACTAACCTTTGGTTCAAGAGACCAAGCCTCGAGATAGTGGTTGTTTAAGTTTCCTTATCCTTGTCCAGATGTTTTATGGTCCGGTCTACTCAGCTACCGGGGACCGATTCAGCCAGAGCGCGTGGGGAGGTCAGATCTGAATCCTTTTGCTTTCATGCCCAGCAGATACCTTTGAACCGCATAGCGCACATGCTAGGATTTATTTACTTCTAGGCCATACTGAATAATCCATTAATTACCTTGGTCAACCTTTGGAAGATTGGAGTGCACGGTTTTTGGGGCCGACTTTGATTAACCCGGTCCTTCTTCGGAAGAAGGCGACATTACCTCCCACGAATATGAAGATTCTGGTCGCATGCAGAGAGCACTCTGTATCCTTCACACTGTCACTGCAGAATGGGATACTACTTTACCCCATATTCCCAAATACTATGACTGTTCGCTGCACATTGTCTGGCGGAATTTAATTAAGACTGTTCGGCTGTTCTCTGTTGATCTTTCTGGCATGAAGAACGAAATCTCAGCGGGTATGGTCCGCCGGATCATAACAACATCAATCTCGATCACTACCTCAAGATGGCAGGTTTCAGGTCCGTAAGCGCACCACCACTTTGGCGATCCATTGTAGCCTAGTGCAAGACATCGGCGTTGTGATGTACACATCGATATCGATAGTTTGTCACAAGTATCCATGAAGGTAAATACATCTTTGGCTCTCGTTAGTATGTTTTGTGTTTTCCTGTCCTTCTGTAGCAACTGGAGTTAGCTGTATCCTCGGTTGATTTTGTCACATAAGGTTGATGTCGATGAAAATCCAGACAATACATGACTAAATTTCCTTACGCTCCTACCCAGGAATAGAGGACACTTCCAACAAGAGGGCTGTTTCCGCCGCTCCTGATCATGTGGTCTCTTAGGTGGGACAACCGTGCTCTCATTTAGTGTCTACAGTCTGCCCTTTCAATAGCCATCATCATGGTGAACTAAGTTCTGGGGCTCCCATCCAGTGGCCTCATAGTTTCCGTTTACCTATGTGACAGGAATGGGCGCTGCATATTAACTCTTCACTTACACCTTTAAGTCTTTTTATTTTGTGGCCATCACTCAATCTACTCTGGAAGACTATTCATTTTGCTAGTTTGTCGAGTATTCATGTTTTATGGCGACACCTGTCTTGTCCATCAGCCAAAGACAGCATCCCATCCACAAATGGGATGAGGTTACCTACTGTCTGTCCGTCTGTCTATCCTACGACGTAGTCGTTAGTTCAACTTAAAAATCAGTTAGATGTTTGATATATTAATTTAGGACTTTGTGCGTCTGTTTAGTCATGCACCCTGACTCACCACGTGTGCTTGTAGCATCTGGATTGGTCCAGATATCATAACCCATCGTTTGACAAGCACGCCGTTGTGTCAGTCAGTTTAGTCTTTTATGCCGCATCACATGTGTCAGCATTGTTTCATGACTGATACCTAGTGGCATTATAATGTTATCTGATGCCTCATAGTTTGCCTATGTTGGTCTATCGCTAAGGCGCCTGCCCCAAGGATCACATTTATGGTGGTATCTAGGAGTTCACTGTTCACTCAATATCTCCGAATGTCTCGAAAAGGTTTTCAACCATACTAAATTTTGTGTGAGATAAAAGAGCGATTATGCACCGTGTAGGGTCTTCTGTCCCCTCAGTGATCCATACTTTTCAAACCATGTGGTGCAACTTCATTTCATGATCCAGTGTCTCCACACTGAAGATGTAGATTTAACATTGTTACCTCGAGCTTTGATCAGTGATTTTAAGCTTGGGCGGATGCATATTTTGCATTTTGCCTCGTTATTGTACCCACACATACCTCAAAGGATATAGACGGACGAAACGTGCTTGGTCGCCAATTCATACATGGAGCCGCATCTTAGTGTATTGCTTATCAAAAAGCTTCAGGGTCCCTTCTTTTCAAGTTCTTGGCACTCAGTGGCGACGGTAAGATCGTATAAACCTTCAACGTTGCTTCCATATTCTTTCCATTTTCCCCGTTAATTCTTGACTCTTGGTTCACAACCCGATAGATGTACAATTTCTCCCTGTTCACCGTGGAATTGAACGAGCTGGAACCTGGTATCGCACCAACTGACTCTCGTCTTCGACCAGATCAGCGCCTAATGGAAGACGGAGCGTGGGACCAAGCAAATGAGGAGAAACGTCGAATCGAGCAGAAGCAAAGAGCAAAGCGTCATAGGTGGGAGGAGGAACAAGCATCTTGTAAGTTGTTTTTTGCTGCTGTGCACCATCTTTAACGTTTAACTTTTTTAAATTTTCCTCTTGTCTTTCCACCGTAACAAAGGGCGACATTGAGGTTAATAGCATAGCATGGATACACACGGATCCCATGTACTTTCGCTCGAGTACTTTCGCTTCGAGTTGTTATGCAGTTTAATACATCACCTTATTCATTGACTGGAACACTGTCACACTATAATGAAGTTAATAAGGCTTCTTGAGGAAGGAGAACCAAGCGGAAGAAAGAGTTTGGAATACAGTGCATGTGATGTTAGTGGTAAGGGCAACGTATAGTGGATGCAGTTCAAGCCTACCGTCGTCATCCGGAGCTTTGTATTGGACTTCCTACCTTCTCCCTTCATAAAACTGAGTGCTTGCTTACATCGGCATTCGATTACATACTTATGAGTACATGGCAAGTATGTGTGTCTGATTGAATTCACATCATAACTTCTGCCCCTTATTTTCTACATTTGGTCCATCTGTTCCAGCCTCTGAACCCCTGGATCCCCTGTTTACTCCTTGCTGGTTCTCACTCGCCACCGACAGCGTAACTGGAGAACAGTCGTACGTTTACACCGGAAAATACTGGGAGGCCAAGTCTCGACAAGACTGGTCGTGCTGTCCTGACATATACTGACCGTTGTCTTTCCTTTTTACTGTTACTCATTGCCTTGAATTGACTTCGTTTTACCCTCAGTTTGTCATGCGTCTATCACCGTGTTTTAGCACTTTCAATTCGACTGACTTTCTGGACACACGCATCACCCTTGCGTGTACACTTTCACGAAAGCATTCGCTGAATGTGCCTTTTCAGTTCGTTACTGCTCAGAAATCGCTTCATTACCTTATAACCTTGTGAATACTATGAAAAATGAGTTGTAGTCTCTTAGTTTCAGAAAAATATCATTTTATTTGCCTATCCAGAACCACCTTTATCTAGCACAGGAGTTTTTTGTTCCCATAACAGGGTACCTCGACCCTCTTGCCCTGCGCTCCCTAGTCCCAGCTCATTTGTCATTCTTCTGTGATTTGCTCTCCTGTGCATCCGCTTATTGTGAATTCTGTGCTTATGTACCCCTAACCTATTTTTGTACATCCTCTACAAAATCCGTCACTCTATTCGCCTCCGTTTCGGCTTCACTATCCGTGCCTATCAAGTCAACTTAAGTCATGATGGATAACTTGTTATCTATCGCCTGGGACGACGAACCGCTTACTCACTTGTAAATTCTTTGCGAACGCTTCATGTGTTGTCAGCCTCCGTGGGATGTCACTGTCAAACTAGGTTCGCGAATACATATCAGTCTTGAGTTGCCACTCTTCCACTCATCCAGCCAGATGCCCGTATTTGGAAGGCTCTGTTGATTAGTATCCACTAGGTGGAGGTTCTAGCAAAAGAAGAAAATTAGTGATATAATAGCCGGTCTATTGCATTGGCAAGCCGTTTGTAAAGTGCAAAATTTGACGAGATTGCGCGAGTGAGTAATCACGGACGTTTGGATAACGCGGCGAATCGATATGATTATGAACTCCGGAAAACCCCCTTCCTCCCAAAGTATCAAGCTAATTAGCCGTATCAGGCTTCATTCTATCCCTCACTCTGTTAGTTGACACCACCTGGTTTTGACGGTCTCCTGAAGAGCATAGGTTTGCCATGGTGATGGCGATGATTCCAGAGCAGAGCCATTCAGATCAGCAGGACATAGTTCGTTTGCTTACCTGAGTTGCACTTAACGTCAAAGGTTACGCGGAGTCTTTCAAAGGGTCACCGTACCACCCTTCCGTCTGCTTTCCTGATTTGTTATGGGTGATGATGGCCGGCTGCCGCGTACTCTCTCTTGGTGCGTGCAGCTAGAATTGCAGTATACGGGTCTTTCAATTCTGTGTGTCTGACTAACACCCTGGAACGACAGCTCACATGTGAAGATTGAGCCCACAGTCGGCGTCCGGACGTTAATTCTACTAGTTCCTCTTTGTTCGTATCATTGATATGCAAGCGGGGTCTCGTCCAATCGGACTTACGGTAACAGCAGCTTCTTTTAAACCGTTTGCACTACGGTTTAGGCCATGCGGTTTTGTTCAGAGTAGTAAGAGACCGTGTACCATTTATCTGCTTAGATTCTGGGAAAGCGGGAGATTCGGCGAAGTATAAACCATCCTATCCGAGGCCAACAAATCGAGTGAACTAAACGTAGCGTAAGTAGGATGTATCTCTTTGTTGCCATCTGAACATAGTCGGTTTCTATCTACTCGGGATCAAGAAACAGTTCCATGGAAATCAGTACGTATGCGCTGGTCAGTTCCAAGGTTACATAGATCGACTGAGCTTTGACGGTTAAAAGCGATCTAGCTCACGCAACAATATCTATCCAGTTGGTCATAAAAGTACACCATTGTCATTTTGCATGCGTCATGGATGCCGTTTAAGATTGCCGTCCTATGCAAGTTCGCTGTTGTTGTTCGAGTCCCGAAGTTTTCTGTATCTTTCCAGCACTACGAGAGGTTCAATACTACATGTTCTTATTGACGTAAGTGAACTAATGTAAATGTTAATGACTAATGTTAACATTACATTCCTGTTAATTTCGCGTAGACTGTACGTTGTCAGTGAGCGATCTACCCGTGGTGAGCTGATTAACCCGTACACTGTGAAACCAGCCGCTAAGTGCTCCACTGACTTCGCGAATGCTCGCGTAGCATGTATGCCTCTAAAGCTAGTGAAAAATGGGGCTTTCTGTATGAACGACTTTTTCTTCGAGTAGTGAAATCAATTGCCTCATTCCACAAGGTTGTTGAAACACTGGCCAGGAAATAGGATTGTTTGCCCGGTAAGGCTTGTAGTTTAACACGTAGAGAAGGGGTTCAGGGCTATCCGGTAATCTGTGCAGCATCACTACAATCATTTCCTTCGGCGACACACCGCCTGCGAGTGCAAGTGGTTTATGAGAAATACAACATGCTGTTGTCTCCTCGGAAACACCTTGAATGAAGAGCCGTAGCAACACACAACTCTTCACCCCGTTAATCTGACATGATCTCGTTATGATATACCTATATCTAGAAACAGTTTGCACTGAATCTTTTTGTAGTCTGCGTCCTACGAGCTCACTAGTCCTTTTCCTGGTAAACAGCTGGACAGTTTACCTCAACAGATTCCAATTAAATAGACACAGAACAGTAGTTCCTCGTTTGTTAACAGCCCACAAACCAACTATTTTAAGACCGAAAGACGACCGATATGGATGAAAGAAACAATGGGGTATAGCGAGTCGACTGTGATCAATGAATTATTAGAGACATTTGATAAAAATTATCTACGTGGGTGGAGGAAACCAATGCTGCTGTCGAAAAACACGGCACATTATCTCTGGTTTCCACATACGAAGGTCAATAGAAGTCGAATTCAATCCATAGAATCTGAAGGCCGCAGTACATGGAAATACAGGGCGAATAAAGTTCACAGTAGCATGATGTTTTGTCATAAATTCAGTAATCTGACATGATCAAACCAACCTACCGCAAATAAAGGATTATCGTCTTAATCGGACGACCAAAAAGGAACCTATGGTTTGACAAGCGAGTCAGCCGGCAAGCACGACACCTGGAGACGTGACGGGATGATAGACATCTGGTGCGAGGTACAGAGCATATGTTCGCCTGGAAGTTGATCCATCAGATATATATATATATATATAGCTCAAACCACAATATTTGCTACCCACTTGGGCATGTACATATGGACTACCAAAGGTGATGAATCAGAGCAGTATAAATATTATGCGAAAATGTTGAACGAACTTTCTGTTGAAATCATTAATTTTGAATCCTATATATTTCACATGGCAGTCAGTTTAACTTAATTGATTCTCCCTTTCGATTCGGATACAGCAATTTCTTTTCAGTGAAGCTCCAGTAGTGAACAAAATTGTCTCCAAGAAACCGGACATATACTCAAAATGGGTGAGAACTATGGGGCGTCCTGCGCCCTTTGCGCCTCTGGAAATTTTCAACGACAGGAAGAAGGCCTTTCAACCACAGTCTATTCTCAAACATTCAACCACTCTGAAAATGAGGTACTAGGAAACTGATTCTCCTGTCAATGGGACCTGCTTTCTTGATTAGGCAAGTTATTTTCTGCGGGAGCAAAACTGTCTGAGTAGTGATATAATCGACAATAGTCGTGTACCGCACAGTTAATGGCCCAAGAAACCCTATTGGCCAATAGAACAAGCAAAATTCGTACCTAGCGTTTTCTACCTAGCACCAGTCTTATATCAGGTGCAAAATCATCATAAATCATGCGTGATTTGGACATAATGAAAGTGTTATGTTCACTTACTAGCTAGTCAAGAATTAAAGCCCCCGGATTACTTGGTAGGTAGAACAACACTCTAGGTCAGTCAGGCAGTAGTGTCAGTTTCCTACTTTGATGCAGAGTCTGATTAAGGCAGCTGCCATGTATGGAGGAGCACTTGTTATGAAGACGGGCAGTGTAGTAGCGGAGAAGGATGGCTATGAAATTTAACGGATAATGGACATGGTCTGTAAGATAGCGGTAAGCAGGAAACTCATGGGGATTGCGAGGGTGTTACATGGTAGGAACAGAAGTGAACATAAGCATAGGTGTTTCGATCTTCTCCTGGTTGTTACTGCCAGTTCCATAAAACAGGAGTCCCTAATAGCTGGCAGAGCTGGTATTTGGGGACAGGAAACTGCAAAACTTCACTTCGTTAGCTAGTTGTAGCCGTCCCAAGGAAAAGTATGGGCGTCCACGTGTTATACTTAAGAGACGAAATAGGCTTGGCATGGATAACTACCAACTCAGATAACAATGACAGTAGATGCGCATGCCGACTTCAATGAAGAGCGTTGCAGTAGTATCATCAAGCCACCTCGGCGTTTTGTCAGTAAAACGGCTTGAGCTCCCTTACGTATATTTCAGTACATTTCTAGATACATATCGCGACTAGGGCGATCCAGCACCAGGTGAACAATAACGGCGCTCATTTATCCGTGTCTTCGGTAAAAACCAGCCTCAAAGCTTTCAACGAACTGCGACGAACCACTACTAATCTATCGTTTGCACAGATACGAAGGCGCCTTATTGAAACCCAGTAGGAGGATCCTTCCTGCAAAATGCATCTAACCACCAAACTAAATTTTCATCCCTCCTGCATGCACACAGAACTGCAAGGTAGTGCGTCCCGAAGTGGTCATGACTAGACCTCACGCATCATCAGAGGACTTACGCCACGAAACGCCCCATCCAATCGAGAGGAAAGACAAATCAGTAAAAGAGCTCATCCGCTCGGGAAAAGACAAATAAATACGATTGTTGAATAATGCAGGACTGTGGTGAACATTGACTCTATTCTATTCATTCTGTTTAGTGTATTTTTATATACCTTTGTTTTACCATGCGATTGAGAGTACGCCCGCGATATACGAGAATATACGATATTCACTCGTCCATATTCGGACTTCTATACTACGCGCACATTCGGTAGTTAGGATACCTACCACTATTCTAATTATCACATTTGGCGTCGCGATCCGGAATTTTTTTCTCTTCATCACAATGTTATCTGAATTGAAATTGCTCAGTGTAAATTCAACTGCACGGGAGGTGGAGGATTATTTGGAACGCTTCAGCATTTGGTGTCTTACCAAATCGGATCTGGATGATAAAAAGAAGACAGCTTATTTCCTGCACTACAATGGGAAGGATGCTTATGCTCTTGCGAAAAGTTTATCATTCCCTACGGCGCCAATCGATTGCACATTCGATGTTCTAAAGAAGTTAATTCTCAGTCACTTTAAGCCTATCAATTTTGTGGCCGCAGAACGAGCGAAATTCAATTCGCTTATTCGATCCGAATCTCAGAGTATTCGTGATTTTGTCCTCCAACTGCAAACACAGGCTGCAAAATGTGACTACGGCCAACAACTTGAAAGCCAACTGAGTGATCGCCTCATTGCCGGAATTAATCTTCCAGATCTACAACAAAAGCTCCTAGTACAGACTGATCAACGCTTCATATCGATCAGAAAAATTTGCGAGCAATATCAGGATGTTAAAGATGTAACCAAATGCAACGAGAACGTTTTATTTAATGCACTAAAGTCGAAAGGGCTGGAAGGTCGCCCACACGGTAAATTTGAAACCAATATGCGTTATCATAACAAAAACAACCAACTGAATTCGAACATTCAAAATCGTCAAATACGCCAACCAAAAAAAGTTCTTGGCAAATGTGCTTCGTGTGGACAGGACCACTCCAGATATACTTGCATACATCGCCAA